TCCAGATTGGGTTGTGGAGATTCCCAGCTTGAAAGTGCGCTTCCAACAGAATCCGGATTTGTTCAATAATAGCTCATAGCGTTTTAAAATTAATATTAATAAATATTTTTTTCAATTCTTAATATATTCTGACATATTTTTAATAAAAAAATTTACTTTCAAATTCAAGAAACTTTGGCATCTGAATTACTGTAACTCGTGAGGCAGTGACTTTTGTCACCACTTGCCGGGATACCTCTGTTTCAAGCGACCTACGCCGCAAATATCATCACCTTCCGAGGCACGACTAACTGGACATTCTATATGCTTTTAATTTTGTGCTGTCAAAGTATTCATTGTTTCCCGATATCTTGTAACAAGCATCACAATTTGACTTTTTATATTATTTAATTTTAATCTTTCTAAGTTAAATTTAACTCTATCAAATAATATTCTTTATTAAAAATATTTATTGTCTTAGTTTTATTAATTAAGTAGTTTAAAACATTAATTAACAAATTGAAAATAATATTTTTTTATTAAAAAGTTGCATTATATTTCTGTTAAAAATTATAACAGGACATACTGTTTATTTTATTTTTATAAAATTTTAGTTATATTCCATAACTAAAGTATCTTAAGGCATATAATTTCCTTTATTAACATTAAAGATATAAAGAGAATAAATAGTTATTTTGGTTTTTAATTTTATAATACTTTTAATTTAATTAATACTATAATTTAATTTCTAACTTTCACAAGCGTCATCCTTAACCTAATAAAAAAATATTTCAGTTAAGTCTCTACATAATTAAAGATAATCTACCTGTGGTATAACTAAAATTATATTTCAATGTTAGATAAGATAAAGAATATCTTTTTCCTAAAATGTTTGCGTGGTTCCAATATTGAATTATAAGATCATATTAATAATAAACAAAAATAAAATAATGAAATTTCATAATCATACAACACTAGATAGAAGATATAATTTATTAAATTAATCAATTGATCAATTTGAGTTTTAAGTTTCTTTTTCTTTTTCAGTAAATGCATGTTTTGTTTTGTTTTTAAACACTTGAATAGTTTGAAATAACTTCAACTAACTTTTGATTACCCTTATTTGTTATTATACATATAAGAATGACACACAGTATAATAAAAGTAAAATTTGTATGATACATATAAAAATCAAATTAAAATTAAGTGAAACTTACAAGATCCAAAACACACGTTACCAAAAAAAATGTGTAACCATCCTGTTAATAGTTATTAGTCACATTAATAAAGGGATAATGACATTATAACAGATTCAGATGTTCGAAATTATTTTAAAAACTTTTATACGTACAGAAGATAAATGATTAAAAAAAAAAAACAACAATCGAATGAAGATCAAATTCATATTTTAGTTGCTACTTGTTGGTGATTCCTTTTTGCCCTGTTAATTACCCATGATAGTTTCTATTGCTTATTAACTTAATTATTTGCATTGTTCAACACCTGAAATTCTTCGAAGTGTCTAGTAGATTGTGTCGGTATCCTCGTGAGGGTTGATTATTTTGCAAGTAATAATAATATATGATCCAAGTCTACCCATTGCTTATTATTTTCTTCTTTTTAGGGTACCCAGTACACCAAATGCCCGTTTCAGTCCTCCGCAAAAGGAAAGCATTGATTTCAAATCAAAGGCCGCTGTTGGTTTCACACAAAACACTTCTTCCAAATATACGCGTCTGACACCAAATTCCATTTTTCAAATCTTTCGCTTTGTTTAATTTTAAAATAAAATTTAAAGAAACAAACAATAAAAAATGAAAGAATAAACGAGAGAAATATAGTATAAAAAATGGAAAAAATTAATTTATTTGAATGAGTTAAAAACATCTCTCTACATATTTAAATAAAGAATTCAATTTTATAAAATAGTAATAATTTTAAAATATTAAAAGAAAAAAAAAACCCCACCTCTCCCTTCCCTTTTTCCCTGCCATCTCTTCCCAATTTTATACTATTAGGATGCATTCATGATACTTTCCTTTCAATTTTTACATCAAGAGTGTACACTTTTATTAGAACTTATATTTTTTATTTTTAACGTATCATTAATGTAAATTTTAATAAAAAAATCATTTAGTAATTTCTTTACTAGTCTGTTAATAACATTGATTAGCAAGATCCTTTAATCAAATATTATCTCTAATTTTATTTATCAATTCAAAAAATGAGAAATTACATGGATCAAAGAATCTAAATATTTTGTTAGAATTATTTGATAAACTTCTTAATTTATGCTTGAGTGTTTTTTTACCTTTAAAATATATAAATAGTATAAACACTTTATTTATTGTACATAAAAAAATTAATATATACAAAAAGATATAAATTAAAATTAATAAATATAATGTATTACCATTTTATATAAATAAATAAATAAAAACAAATTGACTCCTTGTTGTAGAAAGATAAATAAGAATAAAAATAATACTAGTCACCAAATCAAAGATAAAGTAGTACTTCTTTATTTTTAATTTAAGTTTATATTAATATGTTAAAAAATATTTTAAGAACCTTGCTACGAAAACTATTGAAGTGAGTTGAAAAACTATATATAAAAATATCATAAGTAATTGTTACAAATTAAAATAAAATATTTAAAAATTTGCTATCAACACCCTATTCAAAAAACCTAACAACTTAGATTCTTTTAGTACAATAATCTTTCTTTTAGCATTTTGAATAGCTCAACTTTTGGTTGCCCATGCCAATTTCTTCACAAAAATCTTATCAATTTTGATATCAAAATTTATTTATTTTTTCTTATGATTTTGGTAAAGTTAGATACCATAGGTTAAGATAAAATAACCCTCCTCAACTTATCTCCATTCTCGGTAATTTTAATTTTGGTAATTTGGTAGTACTTTAAATTGCTTAATCCAAACAAACACGTTTTAATACATCACCTAACGCCCACGAAATAGATAGATGCACGTATTACGAGTGTCGGCTGCTAATTATGCAAATGCAGCCTCTATATTTTAAGGATTTAATTAGATAGGAAGCATGAACCCATTTTATTTTTTTTAAGATTTGAAACATGGACTATTATTTAGTTAGGAAACTTGTTATTTATATTTTTAAAAATAATTTTACAGCTTCTAATTTAGTTTTATTTATTTTAAGACCAGTGAATATATGTGATAAAGGATTATTATTAATTATCTGATTTGATTTAGAAGATATGGGACACAGACAGGAAACCATTTATCTTTTCAATCCATGGTCTGTGTGTTTCAATAGATTTTCAGATATATAGACTCAATGAGTTGTACCCGTATAATGTTTCGTTTAATGATGTTGTACCTCTACTCTTATCTATGGGAATTTTTTAATCACTTTTATAAAAATTATGCAAAATTTGTTAAATATATTAAATTTATCAATAAGTTATATAATTTTCTTAAATATATTAAATTTTATTTAATTATTTATCTAATGTTAATGTAAAAATAATTATGATTAATCATCATAATTAATTTCATGATAGAGAAACAAAGTGTAATATATCCGCGAGTAAAGTATTTGTATTTAATTAAAAACTTTATATATATATAATGTTACACAGGTGAATAATTTTGTTATTTCATTAAAATTGTAAAGTGTGTTTGTTAACACAAGTTTATAATTTATTTTTTAGTCAATAAATGGGTAGAGTTATTTAGTAAATTTTTTTTTTATAAATTTTAAATATTAGATGATAAAAAGTTATTTTAAGTAACATTTAACTTATTAAAAAATAATTATTATTTTTTTTTAAAAAATCTTTAATCTTTCGGGTAATTTACACTCACATATAATAATTCTAACTCTTTTTAGTTTTTAGCATATTTCACCTAATTGTATTACAATATTTATAAAAAAAAATTATTTCAATTAACTAATAATAAATTAAAAACTTTCAATTAGTTTTACCAAATATAACTTTATTAAAATACTCAATTTAATGTCGAAAATGCAGTACTCATGTTTTCTTTAATTGTAATATTAATTTCACTTGAGGGGAGATCTGTACATGAAATTATATCAAAGTATTTATATTTGAAAAGAAAATTATACATATTTATCCTAAGAATTTATTCAAATGAGACTAAAATATAAATTGTTTTATATTACTTTATATGAAATAGTGAGTGATTATACATATTTATATTACTTTATATGAAATTGTTTAATTGGGCGTATGCAATTTTCTCCCCACTTTATGGTGGCATATTATTCACCGAAAGGGAGGAAAATAAAGAGGATGCGAAAAACCTTCCATCAGGCATATTCCAATAAATGATACGAATATTCAAATAGATAGCAATCTGTTAAGTTTGAGCAACAAGCAAATTCTAAAAAGGATAAGAATGAGTTACGCATATCTGAATTGGGAAACAGTGAATATTGTGCAGAATGTGCTGATAATTTGTGACCTAAAAACAAAATGATGATCAATGCAAAACATGCCTGAAATAATAAAAATTATTATAAGGACATAATGCAAGTGCGTGTAAAAGTTTAACTAGGACCAAAACTATTATATACGCTGAGATACTGCGATATGAACGGGGATGATGCGTAAAACGACATAATTACCCAAATCATACATAGCACACCAAACCAATTCCTTATAAATTGTTAATTTAGCTAATAATTTTATTACACTGGCATATTCACAGGTCACTATCGAAGCAGCGTGATATCTGTCATAAAGATCTTTCGGAAACGTTCATCTCATCAACCACGTTCAGAAGTGTGGTACGCTAGTTCAGCCAAATTAGGAAAACACTGCGTCGCGTGAAAATATCCTCGCCTATCACGTGCTTCAATCAACCACGGAATATTTAGTTTAGTTACCACTTTTTTCTTTATTTCTTTTAAAAATCTTAATTTCCCTAGACGGCTTAAGGCTTAGCTCATTGCATATCAACTAGAATTCCGCGTATATAAAGGGGAGGCTTCTTATTACTTGGAGGGCACAGTTCGTTGTTATTGTTGTTTTCTACTTGCGTTATCTTTTCTTCCTTCTCCACAAGGCAAACCAACGCGCAAAAGCAGAGATACAAGAAACACCCCAATTACCATTCATTGTTCGCATGGATTGGGTTCGAGGAGACGCCGTTGGTCGAGGAAGCTTCGCCACCGTTAATTTAGCAATTCCCAAGACCAACTCCAACTCCTCTCAGTTTCCCTCTCTAACAGCCGTTAAGTCCTCTGAAGCTCTCACCTCCTCTTCGCTCAAAAACGAAAAACACGTGCTCGATCGCTTAGGCTCATGCCCAAGAATCATTCGATGCTTTGGAGATGACTATAGTTTTGAGAATGGTGTTGAGTACTACAACTTGTTCCTTGAATACGCCGCCGCCGGCAGCCTCGCCGACCAGCTTAAAATTCACGGTGGCCGGGTTCCGGAGCCAAACGTTCGGCGTTACGCGAGGTCCATCGTGGAGGGTCTTATTCATGTTCACCAAAAGGGGTTCGTTCACTGCGACATAAAGCTTCAAAATATTCTCGTATTCGAAGATGGTGAAATCAAGATCGCTGATTTTGGACTCGCGAAGGAGGCAGGGGCGAAACAGGGGAAGAGTGATGAGAGGTTCGAATGCAGGGGAACGCCGCTGTTTATGTCGCCGGAGTCGGTAAACGACGGCGAGTATGAGTCGCCGGCGGATATATGGGCTTTAGGGTGTGTGGTGGTGGAGATGGTTACCGGGAAACCGGCGTGGAAGGTCGAAAAGGAATCGAGTATGTGGTCGCTGTTGCTTCGAATTGGGGTGGGAGAAGAGGTTCCCGGGATACCCGAGGAGTTATCTCAAGAGGGGAAGGATTTTCTAGAGAAGTGTTTTGTGAAGGATCCTAGAAAGCGATGGAGTGCAGAGATGCTTTTGAATCACCCTTTTGTTTCTGATGACACTGTTCCATTTAAGCATGTTTATGAGTCACCGAGGAGTCACTTTGAGTTCCCTGATTGGGTTTCGAGTGTCGCGGCTTCAATTCCCAGTTCACCGGATTCTCAAGAGCCATGGACTTTTGATTCTTCTTCGTGTTTTAACAATAGTTTATATTCGCCGGTGGATCGGCTCCGGCAGCTTGTTACGGCTCGGAGGCCGGCGAGTGGGTCGGAATCTGATAGTTGGACTAGCGTTAGGTGAAGTGGCAGAGGAACTAGAAGATTGTGTTGTTCATCGCAATCGTTAGGTTCTGGTTCGATTTTGATAATTATTCATATTCATTGATTTAATTTTTTTTAGGCTGTAAATTGGGTACGATATAGGCACATTTGTGATTTGTGATCTGACTTGATGGAAGAGTTCTAACTGGCGCCTGTTTGGCGCGTTGTACAGAGGCTGATTTTATAATAGAGAAAAAATACAATATTTTTGCTTTTTATCAATTATTTCTGTTTAATTTCTTAATTATTTTTTGTTATCTTGGGAAATTTTTCTTTTACTACGAGGGGTGCATCAAATGGGGTAAGGCCGCGGTCGTAAAAGTGTTGACATGATGATTAAAGGCATGATTACTTGTTGCCACAAAGAAGATGGGGTAAATGGGGTCTTAAACTTTTGTGTCGGTTTGATCGGCGTCAAACAACCCAAGTGCACATTTTTGGCGCTAACGCTTTGACAATTTGTTATTGTCAATGGGTAAAAGTAAATCAATGAATTGTGTTCGTAGACACTTTTCTTTATTGTGGATTCCTTTGACTGGGATGGTTTTAAATCTCGAGTGTGAAATGAAAAGGTATGGGGAGCACCTGGGCCTTCACGGTGTCGCGTGCCAGCGAGAGGACAGCTCTTCGAGCATTTTGGAAACAGGGAATTAATAGTGCTTAGATATTAATGGTGAAAATGAAGATGATGAAAATAAAACACTGTTAAGAATTTGACATTCAAATTTGGGTTAAAAATATCCCGATCTACCCGCTGTGGGGAATTCCATCTAAGTTCTTATGAATGTAATTACGTATAAGAATAGGAAATTTAGAAAGAAAGGAATCAACCATTACCAACTTCACACAAAGCATTGTAGAATAAGGGCAACGTAGGAGTGAGATCAAAGCATTCTAGATTTTCTTCTTGTGGGAGAGGGCAGAGGTATCCAATCGGAGCAGTAAAATCAAAAGAAAATGGTCAAATAACGAACTCCCATGTTCATATGACTTGTGCAAAACGAGAAAAAAAAAGGGAAAAAGAAAAACACTCCGCGTAATGTTAGTTGTTTATGCGAAAAATTCTTCAGTTTGGCCAATAAAAAAATATTTCGGGAATGGTAGTGAAAAGTAAAAAGTCAAGAAGGATGATACTGTCAATTAACCAATAGGAGAGTATTTGAGGATAATAAACAATGGCCACGCATTTTCTTGGCACCAAATTTATTTTCCCGGGACAACTTGGGGTTGTTAGGATTTGGACCTATGCTCCAGATGTGTTGGCTCATGTGGCAAACATTTAAAATGCGTTGCAAATTTTTTATATTTTATTGGGTCGAAAGTGAAATGAAAACACAGAGTTGGTGGCTCGTGTTTTAGATGCGGATGGTCTTTTTGGAATTAAAAAAACCATGGTTTCACTTGGGAAAAAAAGTAACTTTTTTTCACTTCTACTTTCATAGCTTGGAACCCAAAATCATGTCCAAATATCGTTTAATTGTGATTTGTTAGATATTCTATTGTAAACTATGTTTACACTAGCCAAACTATGGTGTATATAATTCAGCAATTACAATCCATATTTGCAGAAAGAAAATCACGATTGAACGGCAAAAGCAGTAATGTGAACTTGTTCAGATGAATAAATCCGAGGTCGAAATATGGTAGCCCACAAAGCAAGAAGCAAAATAAACTATTCACACTGATCCAAATTGGACCAATGTTGAACCAGTCCATGTGAAAGATGGGCCATATAAGTCCGTGTACGATGGAATCAGTGGTGTTCCTCAATTTGTGACACTGTACAAAGTGTAGCACATGTAAGTTTTCCGTGGAATTTTAATCATTAACCAGGCTTTTTTATATATATATTTGTAATTATTTATATTAAATTAAATATTTTAAAAATTATTTTTTTTATTTTTAATAATCGCGACGTATTGATCAATATTAATAAAATAAAACTAAACTCACTGCGTTGACCAAAAAAATCAATCAACCAGTAGTTCATTTAGCTTAAAAATTAGTTTACCAAAGAACTGATAAAGAACCATTCATTTTTAATATTAACGTTTTTAATTTAGCCAAAAAATTAAAACCAAATACTAGTTCAATATCAAACTATATATGTAGGATATTCTATCTAATATTTTATTATTATTTTTTGTTGTACAGAAGTAAAAGAACACATATGGTTATCTTATACTAATTTAAAATTTTACATAACTTAGTTTTCATCGTTTCATATCAGTTTATTACTTATTAATATGTTATAATATTGTATAATAAAAAATATGTTTGATTTTTCAGACAAAACAATAGTAAGTTAATACCTTCTTTATTAAATGATTGATCTAACTAATTAAACATTATTGTTGATAACGTAAGTGTAAATAGTCTACTAATATGAATTCGTTAACGTTACTCAATGACACTGTATTCATCATCCATTTTATAATTATTATAAAATATTAATGCACGATAAAAAATTAATAATAATAAAATTTTATTAAAGAAGTTATTTAATATATTTTTATAATTTTGACACAATACATATTTTTTTATAATTTTTTTTATTTGTATATATATTTGTTTGTTTTAAAACTACCATTTCATAAATAATTTAAAAATTTAGACTCCTTGCACACTATTTTCGGAAATTAGTTTTGCACCACAACACTTCTTCCTCGTTGATTTCATGAAACCTTCGTCTTCGATCGTGTGATGAGCCAATGGTACACCTCCATTTTCAATTACTATGAATCAATCAATCAACCATATCTAAAATATATATCTTTCACCAAATGTCATAAATCAGTTATTTCAAGCCATCCATGTTATATTCAAATTTTGGATCCTTACTCGTCGTTGCACACATGCACACAAACATTATGCTTTTAGTCACAAATTTTCAGTCACAATTCCAATTTTTATCTTGTTCGGATTATTATTATTATTATTATTATTATTATTATTATTATTATTGAAATTACACAAATTGTGGTATTGTTTTTGTTCAGTACCTGACTCCTAGGAACAGCCTGAGGTGGGTTATCGTGTATTGCGATGGTTATTCCAGTATTATGAGTTGAAGAGGGTTATAGAGAGAGTGTTTTTACAAAAAACAAAAAAAATATATATATTTCTAAGGGGTAAGTTAGAGAGTAATGTTCCTAGGATCTTTCTGCCCTTCCTTTTATATAGGCGTTCATTTCCTCAAATTTTGATATTTTATCATAACACTGTTATTAGTTATTGGGCTAATATCGTGTGGAAGAGAATTATTTAATGGGAATAAATTTTTTTTTACCAGGTTTTAGGTAGTTAAACTCTAATATTTTTTGGTTAGATGCATAAATTTTCTCCTCTACTAATTTTCCTATTCATTTGCTTGAAGATTATTATTAGAAAAGTGGATTGGCTAGAAGGTAAGGGGAGAGTGTTGACGATAGTAGCAACTCTATTGAAATGTACGGGTGGCCACCGCCGTGTGGGTGGAAATGGGTAGCATTCAACAGGGCACTTGTCCCGCTGAGTTCGCCGATGGCCCTAATTTCTTATGTCCTGGAAGGGCTGTGGAGAACGTGGATGCTTTGTCAGCCAGCGCAAGGCAAGGTCCCACTTGAGTGGCTTTGTTGCTCATGGTCCATCCATTCGTTGATGTGCTTTGGATGCAATCTGAGACGTCTAGCGGGTGTGGTGGTCGCATTATATGATGGCCGAGGTGGATAATTTTATTGAATTTGTTCGAGAGTCTGAGACTAAATCGAATTCATAGGACTATTACTTTGATTATGCGGATAGTTTGTTGATGATGACTTCATCTAAGGAGGTGGGATTGACTCAAGTTCGGTTCGAGGCTGAAGTAGCTAACCCTTGCCCTCAGTTATATAACGCTACTTCAATCGAGGTCGTATAATAGCTACTTGATAAAAGGACTAATGTAAGTTGAGCAAATGAGAGTTATAAGGACAACTACTTGATAGAAGTGCCTGGGTCAAGTGGTCAAGTTTGTGAGGTTGGTGAGAGTCCTGGTCACTTCCTCTATGTGTACGATTACCTCTTCACCGAGACAGGAGTTCACATGTCATTTTCAGATTTTCAAACCTAAGCTCTTTCATATTTACCTTGTGTCTACTCATCTTCATTCAACATACCAGGGTTTTTGCGGTGTTTTAAGCTATTGTGTTTGGAGTTTGGCATAACTCCTACAGTTACTTTGTTTCTCCACCTTTTTCAACTCTTGCAAAAGATTTTTTTATTTTTACTTTTTAAGTTGGCTATAAGGTTGTGCCACTGCTCGGTGCACTCCTTGCTCGCTCTGCTACATCTGCGGTATAACATGGTGTGTAATGTATAATAATTACTATTTTGTCTTTAACTTATAAGACTTGGATAGAATGTGATTTTTTTTTTAACACATATACGTGCAATTGTTGAACCTACTTTATGGATGTTGTTATCATTCTCAAGAACTGAGAGATTTGCTACTAAGTATACATCTCAAGTGACACGTGGTCATCATGTACTTGATAAACAACCATATTTAAAAATATATGTTATGTATGTTCTTGTTATTAACAAATGCTCATGAGATTATATTTCAATTGCACATTAAACAATTATAACAGAGAGAAATATTAATTAAATAATATGGTCATACCGAGTACTAACATAATCATAGAAGTGGACTTATACTTATTCATTTACTCGTGAATCAATTATTAATAATATGAGATGCAACATGTGAATTATTACGTCTATTTAACTTCTTCAAGGATAAGGTATACTGAGTGTGTATTAACTCAATAAGTTCATACTATTTTCAAGTAAATAATATTCAAAAAAGAAATAAAATAAAGTAAATACAAGCATATATCATACTAGAACAATTGTAACTCCCACAATTTAATAAAGTGCAAGTCTAACTGTAAAAAATAATTTATAAATAAGTGTTAACTAAATGTATATTCTAACTAATTGTAATTTTTATACGAGTACACTATACCAAACATAGTTGAGAAAAAAAAAACCTATATTAAAACTCAACAAAAATATTGGCTATAACGCCCCGAGTTTTGTAATCTATTTGATTTTAATATAAATTGTGGAGTTCTATTTGAATGTGCAATTGATGTATATAATGATGTGAAATATGTGTGTGTGTGATGTGAATGCTGACTATAGATTGAGATTAAATATGTTTAGACTAATTAAGAAATAGGCTAAGTATGTGCTGTAGAGGGGTTCTCGTTATAACGAGTGAATTCTTTCTGTAGCGAAAAGACCCTGGGCGAAAGGACTGCATCTGTTGCGTTTTCGCTATAGCGAGAAGGCCACAGAGACGGTGTAACTCTGGGTGTAGTCTCGCTGTAGCGAGATTATATAGAAAACGAGCTACTGAATCGTCTTATATTTTTGCTGTAGCGAGAGGTGCTGTAGCGAGAGGTGCCTCGCTAAAGCGAGAAATGTCATGTTGTAGCGAGAATATCGCGACTCATAGGGTATTTGAGGAGTTTAGGATTTGAAAAACTCATTCCCATCTCTCTCTTTAAACTTTCTTTCGATTCTCTCTACCATCATCCCTATTTTTCTGATTAGTTTGTCTCTAAAGTCATTTGGGAGTAAGATTAAAGGTTGGAATAATGTTTAGAGCGTTTAGAGGTAAGTTCTAAGAGCTAGAGTTTTGATTTTTCGTCCCTTTCTTTGTTTTCTTGAATTCTCATGGCGTTTTCCATATGTTCTTTGTGTTACAAAATTTGTTTATGTTGTTATTTGTTGAGTTGTGATTGAGATATAGCGTGGACAAGAGTGTGTTTTGATAGAAATTTTGTGTTAGACATGGGTAATGAATAATAGATGATGTGTGTGATGAAGTGATTTGATTGTGGTGAAATTTTGATAAAAATTGAATTGTTTGATAGTGCAATGAGTGCACATGTATGTAATTTGGATTGGAATATTGAAATGTATTATTTTATGTTTGTTTAATTCATGATTTGAATAACGTTAGAAATGTGTGTAATGTGTGAGGTGAGTCTCTGTGCTTATGTGTGATAGCGTAGAGTACTTATCCTTACATTTATTTTTTAGGTGACCAAAACGATCAGCATCAAAATTAGTGAAAGAGATGAATAAAACTGTTATAGGATTTAGAAAATTTATTTTTAGAAGATTGTGATATTAATTGGTCCTATAATAATGATTTGATTAAAAATTTGTAATTCATCCTTATTTTAAAAAACTTTATTGAAACTATGTGATGAAAACAATTTGAATGAATTCTCACTTATTACAAAATTTATTTATTTAAAAAATTAAATTAAGATATTACATTGACAACATAGTGTTAATAAATCTCTCTCGTTCCTTTATAATTTTTAATAAATTTCAAACAATAATTAAGATTATGTTAAAAAAGAAGCTAAAAAATAACACTTTTCTATAACTTAATATTATCTTTAAAACACATCTTATTCTTGATTGATAAAAAATAAAATAAAATCTATTTTATAGTTTTGTTATTAATCTCAATCATCTTATCTTTAAAAACTAACAACAAAATTTACTCTATTTTATAATTTTGTTAATATCAATCATTTTATCTTCAAAACACACTTGATTCTTGACTAACAAAAAAAATTAATTTATTTTATAGAATTTTTTTAATCTCAATTCTTAATGTGTTTAAACATCTAAAAATTTTAAAAAAATATTAAAGAATTGATCATAATATTTTAAAGTTATAAGAATGTAATAAATATTTTCTTTAAATAATTTTTTTTATATTTAAATACGTAAACCTAATTTTAAAGATTGAAGTTAATTATTTTTTTTTATCTTTTATCATACCTATAGAATGAATAAATTATTATATGTATTAACATTTTTAATATAATTTTTGTAGTATATTAATGTCTATATAATTTTTGACAAAATTTTTCTGTTTATAAGAAAGACAAATTTTACTATTATTGGAATATAAATTACATCGAATATAAGTTTGGTTGAAGATATAAGTTTAATATTTTATAATTTTATAATTTTTTATATTTAGTATTTTTTTTTATTCTTTTTAAACTAAGTCTATCAAACTTTTTATTTTTTGTAAAAATACACATTTATTTTTTATAATTAACATTTATTTTTAAATTAATTTTTATAATTAAATATTTACATTTTAATCCTTTCTTTTTAATATTTTTGATACATTTATAAATGGTAGGAATTAATTTAAAAATATCTACTCACGTAAAGATTAATTTGTAGAATTTTTTGTGTAAGAACTAAATTAAAAAAATATGTCACTATAAAGATAAAATTTATAATTTAACCATTTTAAAATTTTTTATGAGACAATTTTTTTTAAAAAAAAGCAATATTAATCAGGTGCAAACATTAAAAAGTGAATGAAAAAAAGTAAAGGACCAAACTTACTTGCTATTCTTTTAAGTATTATTAGTGTTGTCAGCCAATTAAATTTGAGCTTAGTTTTAATAAAATATTTATATTTAATATTTTTGTAAATTATTAAAATAAAACTTAAATTTTGATTGATAAATAACCTGAGAAACTATATACCTAAGTTTTGTGTAAAAATAAATAAATTTAAAGTTTGTCAAAAGCAAACTCCATGACCCAATTTTGAGATGGAATATATGGTATAGTCCAAAAGACAATAAGCAAACAAATTGTTCAGCTTGATCCAATTAGAAGCAAAGTTGAACCAGTCTATGTGAAAGATGGGCCATATAAGAAACGTATATAGGTTTTTTGGTGTTCCTGGATTCTTAAAAATTCAGTGGTAGTACATATATGCTTTTCATGTAATGTTGTCATCCCATATCTAGCGTTTCCTTTTAGATTGTGCTTTGGATTTGATTTAGTTGGCAAAGTCAGTAGTTAAAATTTAAGTTTTACTCATTTATTTAAACGAATTATATTTAAATTTTATTTTAATTAAAAATTTTAAACTTGATTTGTTAATTTGTTGATAATTTTTTTATTAATTTAACATTTAACGAATAACTTTATATTTAAAAAGTAAAATAATTTGATAATAAAATTTAATTTAATTTACATGAAGATAACTTAAATTAAAAATAAAAGAATATATATATATACGTATTATGTATGTATGTATATTAATGCTAAGCTTGTAAAACTATGTCAAATACCATCTTCAACGGCTTTTTATAAAAATATGACTATAATTACTTTTTATAAATTTAATACAGGTCAATGGGTGCGAGAAATTTTTTTAAAAAAATAATTGTTTTTATGGGAGGGGGATTTACAATAATAATTATGAAAAACTATAGAAGGTAAAAGGTCGAGAGGAAATGTGAATAATATATTGTTATGAAAGTATGATGGTGACAAAAAATATAATATGCAATGACTTATCACTACATTCATCATTTTTTTACTATAGATAGTGGTTTTGAATGGGATCTAGTGCAAGTCTTATACAAGATTTGAAAGGTTAATGCGTTAAGGAAGGTAATAGTATTTGTTTGGTATCTATTGCTTAATGTAGTTCCGATACGAAAGAACTTGACTAAACGTTGATTGATGATTCGCTCAGAAGTTTGTGGATTGTGTGATATTAAAGATAAAGACATTGCATTTTTTTTACATTTGTTTATATGAAACTGTGGTACACAGTGTTTGAATGGTTTGATATTAATTTATATTTACCTGAAAATTTGCATGAAACATTACTAAATATGTGTAAAATCTAATATAAAAAAAAGAAATGGAAGGGAGTTGTAATAGTATGATTTGCGATAGTATGAATAACTTTATTTCAATGGAATAATATTCCTTTCAATAACAGAATGTTATATATTATTGAAATATTTTTTTATCAAGTATCATGATTAGAAGTGGCTTACAACCTAATCTCGTTTGGAATATCAAATGTACATGTATTAATAATTTTTTTGAGAGTTGTATCATGTTAAAGTATTTTTTATACTCTAAATTTATCTTTAATAAAATATTAATGTTTAAAAAAAAATTTGATAAACACTTTTTAAAATCAAATAAAAATGATAACTTTTATGTTATCAGAAACTTTTGTCTTTTATTATTTCAGTTATAAAAAAGAACCATATACAGAATCTTCAACTATTACCGGTGTGAAACCCTTCCCGCTGACATAAAGTTTACATGTGAACCTTAAGTAACGTGTGAACCGTACATAAGCATTCTTTAAACCATAAATAACATCAAACTCTTTCTATACAGAGCGTAATACATATTATATCGATGATTTGATCCAACATTTAACTCTCTTTTCAGGGTCGGGGGCTTACAATTATTTTGTTGCTTGTTCCAACCACAGAAAGTGCCTACTAGAAAAAGGGAAAGAGAAACTGAGAGAGTAAGCAAAAAACAAAAAATAAAATGAATTTAACTTCAGCTTGGAACTGGGACATAGCAATAGATGTTGGAATTGACCCACCGACTACATCCAAACTACCCTTTCGGCTATTTCGTAGAAATTTCGTGTAACGTACCCATACCCTTCGAATTTAAATTATTGCTTGATTTATTATCACGTTGCTGACATTACTGGTAAGTGCACTTGTTCACAAGCGAAATGGCCTTGCCCATCTTCTTCGGATCCATAACCACGGAGCACTCTATCTTCTTGTTGAACTTGGGCTTAACCAATTTCCCCAAAACATAAGCTTTTGACCGCACCATCACGCTCAATGACAATGGCACCGCATCAACTGGCGCGCCATTCACGCTGTTCAAATTGGCTCCCCCTCCGTACAGTGGGATATTACTCCCTTTCACCATCACTCTAATAGATCTCTGGCTTTTTCTAGATTGATAGAACTTTGGCATCTGCAAATCAAATCCCATATCATAATCCAAAATATCAGTATAATCATAGTTATTTATGACCATATATTATAACTTACATTTCCAGTGGCGAGGGTAAGCTGATAATAGTTGAGATCTAGGGGAGTTGAGGTCACGTGGACCCCGAAAAATGTAGCGGTGTTACGAAATGTCAATTTCACAGAGGAATTCATGGACACCAAGCTTGTGGCAACTCCTGACGTATCCGCACCCGCTTGAATCACAAATTGATCAAACGTTATACTCTGCCAAAGGGTTTAACATTAAAAATAAAAAATTAGAATCAACTAAATAAAATCGAAAATATTGGTTTTTTCACAAGGTTTGATATTAGAATGAACGAAGTGGGAACCTTAAGTGTAATGGCGGGTTTCTGGGGGCGGCTTGCGGCCCACAGAATGAGAGAGAAAAAAGAGAAGAGAACAACAAAGCCCATAACAAATGCTAGGAAGTAGCAGCGACGAGGGAAGGCATGTTGCGCGGCGTCGTGGGCATCGAGAAGGCCTTCCTCCTCGATGGCGTGGAACTGATCCTTCCAGGGCCTCCACGGGCCTTTTCGGTTGGAGGCATTGCTCTTGCGCGAGCCCGAGAAGCGGGTGGAGGCAGATTCGCGGGAATGCGGGCCCAAGGAGGAGTTGGAGTGGGAATGGGGAGGGGAGCCCAATGGGCTATGTAGTGGGCTGGAGTGGAATGAGTTGGTGGTCTTCTCGCCGTCGTTGGAGGAGTCCCGTGATGGGCTTTGGACGTAGTAGACGGCCCGCCGGGGAGACCTCGTAGGCGACGATTGGCTGAGGCTGCTAACCTCGGAGTCGGTCTTGGCGAGCATTGACATGTTGTCGCTGGGTTTCATTTGAGAGAGAGAGTGTGGAGCGAAGTGTAATGAGGAAGAGGTGTTGGTGTGATGTTAGCTTAGAGGGGTGAATGCAGAATCTTCATAGCGTACTTGTTGGGGCAGATAGGGCCATCTTGTTATTCTTTACTGTCTTCGAAGCTTTTGCTCGTGGCACGTAATTAATAGTATACTACTGGAAGCTGGACTTTGTCAGATGCCATGGATTGCCACTTTCAATATATCTATACATAATATAGCATATAAAATTAATATCATATATATGTCAGTCATTTCTAATTTTATTTTTATCTTTCATTTCTTACATAATTGTGTTGTCAATTAATTCATCTAAATATCTTAGCTTTTGAAATTTAAAATTAATTTAATTTTATCTATAAATATTTAATAATTTAATCTCATGTGAATGACAAGATACTTTAAATCAACTCATTCAAATAATTATCGATTCATAGAAAATTAAATAGAGATTTGATTAATTATTAAATTTTTATTTTAAATTTTCAATTTACATTAATTAGTAAACTCACAGTAATATATAATTAAAATTAATATTTTATTGACTCTTATATTGTGAAAATATATTATTCATCATTAAAATAGTTTTTATTATATTTTATTTTTCCTTAAAATATATAATGTTATAGTTTAATACTTTTTTGCTATATAACTTCACTTCATTAATTATTTTCAATTTTTATATTATTTTTTCTTTTTTGATATCAGTTAGGATATTCACAAACTAAACTAATCTAAAAAAAATTAAGATATATTTAATTGTGCATTTGATAAATGCTAAGATCTGTTCTCATAGGCATCCCTATTTTGAGCATTATTCAAAAATTCAGAGATCTCTATGGTGAATTGCTTTAGACACTACATCTATTTTCATAAAAAGATTTGTGTCAGGAAGTTTGTAATACCTTAAATTTAATTTTAAATAAATAATACTTTTGTAAATTCAGAATAATAAAAGTTTCATTAAACATTTCGAAATAAGAAAAGAGTTACAAGTTTATATCAAATAATTGCTACAAGACTATTTTAAATACAACAATTTCAAATTAACATTCTAAGTCCTATAGCAGTTCCATCCAACTTTTCACTGAGTTTGGTGTTGATCGTCTTGATTACCTGAAAAATGAATGTAAGGGTGAGTACTCTACACTACCAAACACACAAACAAGTATAGAGTCTCACCTTACACATAATTTACATTATTTCTAATACACTTCACACAATATAATCACATGCAACATTACCACTCAATTCATTTCTAATTCAACTCCGATGCGCTTACGGCACCAAACAGTTTACACACACGAAATTATCAAACAATAATCTCGTGCACTCACTGCACGTTAGCCACGCTCATTGTGGCACTGTGATCACAAATGTTTTTACTATGGATAGTTGTCGGTTACACCTGCCTCACGGATACCACGTGGGCAGTCACGGGTCGCTCAGCAAAGATAGTAGTCAGAGGTCTAGTCAGGAAGAAAGTGTGTGGCCCGTGGTGCTCCCGCTCCCACAGTCGATGTCATCACCACTCCCTCTTCGCCAAAGTATTTCTACCTTTTTCATCTTCTACACCCCTAGTGTATCACTGAATCATTCACAGCACGTTACACCGGCGTTAATCATGCCTCATTCACACACATTGCAATATTCATTCTCAGTATACGGCATAAAGCCCACAATCATGCATAATACACATCACTAGGCCCTTATTCGTTCTACAATACACGGTACAAAGCCTATATTCATTCATATTACATGGCCCTTGGCCCACACTTGTTCACAATTATTCATTCAAATATACAGCACAAGTGCCTATACTCATTCACAATACTCGGCATATATGCCCTCATTTTATTACACGACACTTAGTATATAATCCACATTATTCAATCATCAATCAATGATACAATCACACACATTTCAATCAAGGGTATATTAACCCAGTCACAACTAACTCACATTACATTCAAACACAATAATTTTCATTAACACACTCATTCTTACTTTCTATCTGAATCACATTACAAAAACATAGAAACTAAATAGAATTTCACACAAATGAGATAGAATAGAGTTCTGCCTTACCTTGGATTGAAGACCCACACTTGAATTCAACTACGGAAGTGCTCCCCACACGGATTTTGGCGTAAATACATGGAAAAACTCCATGAGAATCCAAAGAAACCGAGAAACAGAGAAAGGGGATGAAAAACAAAAACTCTAACCATTAAAACTCACCTCCAAGTGTTCCCAACACGAATCTAACATTCAATCAAGCTCCCAAACGACTTTGGGGGTAATTTAATCAGTGGGATAGGGTTTTCGATCGAGAGAATCGAAGAAATTTTGAAAGGAATGTGAGAAATAACCTTTCTCAAATCCTAACCCCTTTTAAATTCTCTATGGTCGCGATACTCTCGCTACAGCGATGTCTCGCTGCAGCGACTCCCCCTGTTGCTACTGCAAAAATCTAAGATGAAATTGCATCCTGGTTTTTGCAGAATTTTGCTATAGCAAGACACTTTCGCTACAACAACAAGGTGACAGTTTCACGCATTCCTTCTAGGGCCCTCTCGCTACAGCAAGAGCACCCTACACCAGGCACTCAGCCTATTTTCCAAATCTAGCCACATACACACGTACACATATATATACATCCCTATTCATACATATCATCGTTTAATCAGTCATCAAGCACTTAAGTGCAAATTTCAATATTCATTCACATTTACACATACATATATATACATATATATCAATAATCAATATTACAAAATTTGGGGCATTACAAGGTTTATCAGAAGGTTCACTTGCCTTAGATTTAGGAGGGTTCACTTGCCTTAGACTTAGGGTCTTGCTAACATCTGGTCCTATTAACCCTTAAAAAATCTTGAATAGAGCTATCTTTACTAAAATCTCTTTACAACCCATGCATTATCCTAAAAATGTCTTTCTCCTCATGGTTGTTATTATTATGACCCTTACCTTTAGTACTAGACGAATCTAAAACATCATCTTGGGGTTTATTATCCTTGTCCCTTCCTTTCTTATTAGGTCTGTGCTTATTTTTAGTTTTAACATATTTTTTAGGATGGTTATCTAAGCCTGCTTCATTACTATTCATCTCATAGGTCTTAGGAATAGCTAAATTAGGTTGATTTAGGTTTGATTCACACTTTCTATTCTGGTTGAGTGCAATCTCATAAGGAATATAATCTAGATCCACATTTAGCTTATTATTAAGGTCACTTAAAACATCAAATCTTGAACCTGAGAGAGGCATTTTATTTTTACTGATACAATGATTTATATTTCTTATTATCTTTGATTGGCTTATCTTTTTCCTCACTGGCCTTTTAACGAACGTCTAGGGGCCAAATTTGCCTGGTTTCATTGATTGCTTATTCTCCTGGTCACATTGAACCCTCTCGACATGATGATTATAGGGGAAATTAGTCACTCCATCCTTATCCATTCCTGTTTCACTAGAATTGATAGGTGTGTTAGTAAGAGACAGGCTAGGAATAAGAGTTTTAGGGCAAGATTCCTGCTTATGGCTATATTTACTATAATTAAAGCAAATAAGGTGGAGTCCTTTATATTCAATCTTAAACTCATGACCTAGAACTTTAAAAGTAGGAATAAGCGTTTTTCTAAGATCCAACTCTACACAAATCCCAGCAAATCTACCTTTAGACAGCAGATCTTAGGCAAGTTCCTACTTGTCACAAAAATTTCTCATTATATAACTCTAGGGGTAGATCAGAGATGCACACCAAGGCAACAATCTTCCGAAGATTATTTATTTGAGGCCTAAATAAAGGCCTCACCTCTAAAATAGGAGGTAATGATCAAGAATCAACTAGGATGTCTCAAATAAAACAAATTTATAATCATCAATATGGTCAAACTTAACCAAGAAAAAATTGTTATTTAAATCTAATATTTTCAAGGGGCCATTTTTTTCTTCAAATATTTCCTAATTTTTGATTCAAATAGTTAAAACTAACAGATTTACCTGACTATTAGGGTACCTTTCCATGGAGAGTACCAAGCTTCGTAATCGTCTAAAGCAATTCTTAGATCTGGACAATGATTTTGGTTATTGTTGTTAATTATATCAGAGTGATCTTCATCAGAAAACATATTGAAGTCTTCTATAACAGATTTAATAATTTTGTCATTTCCTAAAATAAGATCTAAATCTTTAGATTCAATGACTTTATCTTTGTACGACTTAGACACAAAAATAGGGTTAGAAAACACCTAGGGTTGATGACGATCTAAAGAGTCATCCTCTGGCATTGTTATCTCTAGGACTTCAATGGATGAATCGGCCTCCACTTTCACCTTTTTCTTGCTTCGATTCATGAGATCTTCCTCTTTAGGTGTGTGTTTCTCCGCCTCAAGGCGCTCCATTGCAGACTGCCCTTATTTGAGAAAATACCCTTTGGATAGGCTTAGAGTCCATTGAAGAAGCAGCGTTGCTACACATGCAAGAAACTCTAAAGAGAAGGAAACCCTAATAGAGACTTAAAATAATGTCTCTCTCGTACAAGACTGTCTTGTGTATTTTTAGATTTTTTTTAAAATACTATATTTTGATATATATTATTTGTAAATACTATATATATATATATATATATATATATATATAATAATCTTTAAAGTGCAACTATTCTTTATTTTTGTATATTTTTTTGTCTCATGTCCATGATTGAAAAAATTATATTAGAGTAAAACCTTAGAAAGAGATAATTTAAGTATATGATTACATGTGTTTTAATACTTGTATACTTAGATAGTATAGAAGAAGTTTTATCAGCTTGATGACATGAATATAAAATATGCCTTTTTAATCTCAAACATTATTTGTTTATTTATTAATTTTAAATATATTATTTTATTTTTTTATAATAATTAAGAAAATAATAGTGAACGCTATTTTAAAATTTAAAATGATAAATAAATAAAAATTCATTAGACATAAAAAAAGGAAAAGAAACCAAAGTAGTAGCAAGATACGTGAAGTTCATAGACGTATGTAGTTTTGTCTTTTCTCTTATCACAAGGCAGAAGGGACGATGATTTTTGTGTTTTTCTCAAGGCCAAGGCCTGAACAAGTTCAAAGTTTGGGTCGTCCGTTTCAAACTTTTATTTATTTAATTTTAAAAAATAAAAGAATCATAAAATAAACAATTAGATATTTAACAAAAAAAAAAGATATGCTCCCAAAAACATATTATTTATTATTTATTAAAAATATTTATAATATTAAGCTCTTTAAACGTTAGAGATATTAAAGAATTTTTTTATTTTAATTTATCATTAATAAAACGACTCATTTAATATTATTTGAGAGTCTTATTTGACATCATAAATTTTGTAATAGCCAATTTGACATCAAATAATTTTTAAAAATTACTAAATTAATACTTGTACATTTTAAAAGTAATTTATAATAATTTATTTATTAAGAAACAATTTAAGATTAATAAGAAATATTTAAGATTAGAATTTAGTTATATTAGCAAAAATTATTGACATTTGCAATAATTACTTTAAAAATTATATTAACAATATATGCTAATTAATAGAAAACATAAAAGATCGTATTGATAATACATTAAAATTAAGCTCTTAATATTATTATCAATATAATTTTAAATAATAATGATGTAAAACAATAGCTATTAATTATTTTATATCCTCATGAATCGTATGATTACAAAAATCTAGTCTTATAAAAAAATGTGTTTACCTAATTGTACTTGAATTTTTGAACTAAGATACGTGATGATTAATACTCATGGATGCATAACGGCTTACAATTAAATTTCGCTTAAGCTAAAACTTGTTTTTCATATTTTTCAATAAGAAGTTTCATCGTATAATAAAATTGAAGGAGAGAGGTTCTTTCGCATCGAATGGGCACACATGGGCTATGTGACGGATTCAACATATGCAAGAAAAAAATTGATATAAGAACAACTACAAACATATGATAAAATATGTGTAAAATAAAATAATGTAAACATATGCTATTTTTTTTACATTTTAAAAAGTTTCTTTAATTGGATGAATGTGTGCTTCTAGATAAGGACTTTTCTGCTCCATATGAACAACATTTATATTTATATTTAAGAGGAGAATATAAGAAAGGTTTGAACTGGCAACCCATATCAAACGAAGAAAATTATTGCCACTGGTGAAATTTTAAGAGATAACATAAAAAGCATTGTTAAATATATTTTTAAGGCTTTTGTTAGAATTGAATTTAAACACATAAATAATTATTTCTTATTAAAAAAACATATTTATTATATTATATGAAATAAAAAGTGTAATAAATATTTTTTTCAATAAAAAATGATCATTTTCAAGTGTTTAAATTTTAAAGTTGAAGTTGATGTTTTTTTTTTTTTTAATCTTTTGATTATATTATCAAAGGAGCAACGAAGAAAGTTAGAAATGAAAATTTATTTCATATAAAGAAAGTAGGTTATATATATTACTAATTAAGTATGCTAATTTCATGATAAAGAACTACTCAAGTTAAATTTAATCTTAAGTTAAATGCCATAAATACAATTTTACCAAAAGTTAAATTTTCGTACTACTAGTCACATATAAATCATACATCAGGAACTACATGGCACCGATATTATCCACATTATCCCAATCTATTCCTCTATGACTGCGTAGAGCAATACTTCATTTTACTGATCGTGATCCAGGCTATTTGATCAGGTTTCATTACAAGAACTAAAACTGTGTTATTTATGCAACACTTTTTTTAATAAATTAAAGAGATAAGAAGAGAAAAGAGATGAAAAATAATTAGACGTGTGATATGATAAAGAGAGATAAAAAATATTATTTTAAATTTTCTTTTAGAAAAATTTATTATAAGAATAATATATCAAAACGAATTAATTCTGAAAGTCTTCTTCTGGAATATTAACTGTACATGGCTGCTCATATATACCTCAAGAACCAAGGGTCTATCACTGATGGCAGACAATATTCTTTTATCCTTTACTAGTGTATAAAAATGTATTTAATTTTAATTTAACTAAAATACATTTTTTTATCGTTAGATTTTTTTTCTGTTAATTAATTATTGACATTTGACAAAGTCTAATTTTATCACGCTATCATTAAATAAAACAAATCTAACAGATGAATTTAAAACCATGATTTCAATAAAATTAAAGAAAAAATGTTTTTGTTAGGACATCAAACAAATAAATAGATAATTTTATAGTAATAAAAAATACACTTAAGATATATATTTTATTTGAAAGATTAATCAACGATGAAACTGGGTCTAATTGTCTAAACTGTAAGCTGAAAGTGTCCAAAAGTTTGAACAAAGAACAAGACATGCTATCCAATATCCACGGTTCCCTACTTTTCCTCCTTCAACAAATCCATTTCTTTTCTCTGGGGCCATTGTATAAATTAATCAAAATATAACAGGTTGTAAGAGGAGCCAGCGACTTAATACATATATACTCTGTTTCATCGTTGTCTCAGAAGCGCCAAGAAAGAAGTGTGAAGCTACAATAAAATGAAGGCACGCTGGCTAGCCATTGCTATCTTCATCTCATTTACAAATACCGTTAATTAATATTATCTTTCTAGCTAGTAATTTATTACGAGGAATGGAAACTGATACGTGCATGACTCTTTTCGTGTCATTCAGAAGCAGAGCCAATTTGTGGGGGTGCTTGTTCTTGTAGCGCTTTGCCTCGTTAATTGCTCGTCAAGCCTCAAGGTGTGTGGTTAAATATCTTTCTAATAAGTTTATTAAAACCATATCACATATAAGAGCATTTCTCATCTGATTAACAGCTTGGAGAAACTTGTGGGTCTGAGAACCAATGCGACAGAGGTCTTCGTTGTGAAACATGCGCTGCAAATGGGAATACCCGGCCCAGATGCAGTAGGATCCAGCCCACGAGCCCGACTTCCAAGGTTGGTAACAGTTCTAATTTGTTGGTGTTTAATTACATTGAATAGATGCAAATTATAGTAAACTTTGACTGTGTTATGTTGTTGGTGTGGGGTTGTTAGGTGAAGGGTTTGGCGTTCAATCGGTATTCGTGGTTGACGACTCATAACTCGTACGCTCAATCTGGCGTTAAATCGGAGACGGGATCTTTTATTGTAGCCGCCACAAACCAAGAAGACACGGTTTCCCAACAACTCAATGTAAGACTTTGCTTCTCCCTTCCTTCTTCGTGGGATGGTTCGGTCCAGTTAAGTCTCTTGTTATTGTTATAAATTATAACACTTTTATGCTCACAATACATGACTTTGACACGGCATTGATCACCGTTCTTTTTAATCGTTTAAAATTATGATCATTTTCCATTTCCGACTTTTTATTACTTTATCTTTTTCATAGGTTATATTTCGTTAGTTAAGGTTATTTATTTTTAGGCTTTTAGATAACATGATAAAGATAATTTTAGGCAATCAAAGTTTAAATCAAATGAAAAGACGCATGGCAAAGTAAATGAGATTACCAATAATCACTTCCTCTTTTAAGTTTTAGGAGATATTGGTTTCAATAGTTATAACTCATTTCCATTTTGATTCTTGTAAAAAAAAATTCTTGATTACAAGTCTCAACAATTTAATACTCTTAAGATTTTGGGATTAGATCCTCTTATGTAAGTAAGAAACATGGTAATGTCATGTTATCATAGACAAAGATGCAAAATAAATTAGTAAATTCTACATAAATATAATGATTAGTGTTAATTACTATAATAATAATTTTGTGCATTTCTCTCTTCATTGTCATATTCTATATACTAGATAAGAGTTCGAATTTAAGGTTTCTATCTATCATCAGCCAAAAATAGCTTAACGAATGAAATTATACGAATCACATATTCATGAGGATTTTTATTTTTTATTTTTTGTAAATGAAAGTTGTACGATAGTATAAGTAAAAATAATTATAAAATATAAAAATTTGATATTCAAATGATAAGAACAAAAAAACAATTAAGTAAAATATAGAGACGAAAACAAAAACTGAAATCAAAACCCAAAATTAGTAGAGACCCTAAGAACTAAAATTTACTTTGAACTTAAGTTTAGAATGAAAATTGAGGGTAACAGAGATTTTTTTTAGAGAGGTAGTTGAACTACTTGAGAGGGAAAAAATCTGAATAAAATTGAATTAGTGTAACCATGCTTATCCTTTTGTATCTTGTGACTTTGGTGATTGATAACTGTATTTTAATATATAAAAGAGATGTGTTTTAGACTTTTCCTAATTAATAGGCTCATATTTAAAGAAGGATTCAAAAACTCAACTTGAGAGAGAAGGATTCAGAGAGTTGACCGTAAATAATTTTGTCCATTTAGAATATTCAGAAGATGGATTAGGTATTAACTTCCAAAATCAAACTTACTAATAACATATTTTAGGGATCATGTTCTCAATTTTGTTATTTTTCTGCATTTTTTAAGCAAAAGCAGCTATTACTAACGTTAAAGCTATTTTTATTTTTATTTTTTAATGTAATGGTTTATACTTTTATCAACGGTTGCAACAATTGTTATTCAATTTGAGTTTAATTTTTCCAACAAAAATATTTTCCTTTAATTTTGATGCACGGTATATATAACTATTTAGAGAAATGCTTAAAGGTACGTAGAGCCCCTGTACGAAAGGCATACGAACCTATCCATCAGTATTTTATGTACCTTTCAGTGTAAGTTGTTTTGTGATTGATTATCCCTTTTGTAACTTATCAATTTCATGCAAAAAAACTGCCATAGAAAATAGTAAGATTTATTATATTACCATGCAACAATGTGTTGTCACGTTATATTGGGAATTTTACAACTCTTGTTATTATTGAAAGATTAACACCGTTTTTATTTAAAAGTTTTATAACGTTTTTTTAGAATTTATTTTTATAATTTTTCTTTATTACATTACTCATTTTATCACATATTTTTAGATTTTTTTATTGTTTTTTTTATTATTATAAAAGACATTGAGAACAAGTATTGTTAAAAGAGTTTCTTTATTTAAATCTCTAAAACTTGACATGAAGACATTCTATAAAAAAAAATAAAAAGACACCTAAAAGTTAGATATCCAAAAAACATTACCATTGTTAAAATAACACTACTCTTATTAGTTATATGCTGAAGCCACTCATTCTCACTCTTATTCAGCTCTAGATTTGGATAAGGTTTGCACCCCATAAGTCATGTGTCCTCCAGCAGGGATAATGCGTATTTATTGAGAAAAAAATATGTCACACTTAGAACATGATGTTTCTAAGCCATGAACATGTTGCAGCTTTCTAAGTTTAAACTGAGATTGCAGATAGGATTTGACTTGAGCATTGATAATATTATTTGGAGCCTGCAATTACTATATAATCCCCATACACCAACGGGGAAACAAGTAATGAGCATTGGCCTTTTAACAAAAGTGAAACTCACTCTTTGACTATAGAAAAGCATGATTCATGACTTCATTCAACAACGCAAAGGCAAAATTTGAAATTATTTCTTGAAAGCCGGTCCTAACTCTTAACCCGTGGATGGATTTATTAAGTTTAGATGTTAAATTCTCCCTTTTAATTAGACAACATTGTGGGAAACTCCTTGATGATAACAGGTCAAATGTTGAAATACAATGCAATAATAATATCAGAGTAAGCGGGGTAATTTCTTTAGGGACAAAACTTAGGTGCAATATCATGCAATTTGTGCTGTTTTTCAATTGGAGTTGAAATTTCAAATTGGTAATATGTATTGACCTTTAACGCTGATGTGTAACCTTCAATGTATTATGCATATTAGTGAGGTGAAATTCCTGATTGAAAATCAACACTGGTAGGCTGAGAAAACGAAGGAACTATACTTATAGGTAGAGGATGGGAAGGAACCTTGTGGAGTTGATAGAGAATTGGAAGTAGCAGAAGTTGGAGCCTGACATGAAGTTATCAAGTAAAGTTAAGGTTCTTAGTTGGGACTATGAAATGAAAAATTATTTTTATGAAATATTAGAACTTGGTGGGATGTGAATAAAGTTTTCTTGGTAAGGTCATAAAAGCAATCACCTCAACAACCTCTAGGCTTTGATGACGAAATGGAATAACTAGCTAGTTTATTGGCGGAATGAAATCAAATCCTTTAGAAATAATTAACCATGATCTTTGAGCAAGAAAAACATGACATCTTCTGCTATATTTAATCAATGGCTTGATATCCCCGCTCGTGCATTACAAACAGTCTTGTATTAGTCAAATTGCTTTGAGTTTGGGAAATAGAGTTGTGACTCAAGATACACGATGTTGTGAAGATTTCTTGTGCAATTGAAAAATAAAAAAATCACAACATTGTTAGTTTGTATCCGACAATTTAGAAGTCAAATTTTCAAGAATGAATTCAAGCTAATTATTTTTCTTGAAAAAAGCTACAAGCTTGGCACATATCCAAGAATTGTAGTTACCACTGGTGAGATGTTTAGACTGGAGGAAACAAAGATAAAATGGGAACGTTAGAATGATATGAAAAGAACAAATTAGAAAATAAGGTCATCCATGGAGGGAAGAGGAAGATTCTCCATAGTAACATGAAGCGATAGACGAATTAAAAACCATATGAATAATCCTAAAATTAATATGTTGTGGTTGAAGTAGAAACATGAGAATAATGACTCATACCATATTGAAAATGACAGTTTAGTGAGTAATTCATTAACAATTATAGTAGTTCTTTGTTCATTTCAGTCACATCACAAAGTTTAATGTAATAAATCAAGTAAAAAAATAATGGGTAGGTATATCTAAATATCTAATTCTATATATTATTAAGCTTCTTTGATTCAGTTTCTGGATAAATATGAATGTACTATGTTATCTTTATGAGAATTTGAAACATCTTTTTTTTTTATTCCCCATTTTCTTTACATCATACACAGAATGGTATTCGAGGCCTTATGTTAGATATGTATGATTTCGAAAACGACATCTGGTTATGTCACTCCTTCGAAGGCAAATGTTTCAATGCCACTTCATTTGTAAGTTCATTAATTTGTAACTTATAAGTTACCTTAATTTGTGATCAATTATATAAGCCCAGATTTTCTCTCACACACATTCATTCACACCCCATATGCCAGCAACCTGCTATAAACGTGCTTGAAAACATTCAATCATTTCTGGAAGCAAATCCATCAGAAATTGTAACCATCTTCATTGAAGACTATGTGACATCTCCCCAAGGGCTTACCAAGGTGTTTAATGCTTCTGGGTTAAGCAAGTATTGGTTCCCATTGTCCAGAATGCCTAAAAATGGTGAAGATTGGCCAACCGTGGATGACATGGTTCAGAAGAATCAACGCTTGGTCGTTTTCACCTCCAAATCATCTAAAGAAGCTTCCGAAGGCATTGCTTACCAGTGGACATACGTGGTAGAAAACCAATGTAAGTTTTGTACCTTTTTATTAATAATAAATAATCATATTAACACGAAAGACAAAGTTTTTATTTCAGCTTCTTTTTAATTATATTTATTTTTTTATTAATAATCATTTTCAAATACGTACTAATTTAAGTAATATTATGGAGGTCAATCCCAATTATATGTATTATGGTTTTCTTGCTTACTTATTAAAGTAAAACTTTTATCATTTAACATCTCCCTCAAGTTTTATGTAAGACTTTTATTATTTAACATTCTAAATCTCTTTTTTAGTCCTTTTATTTTTCATTTGATTTGACCTTATTAATTTTCTAATTTTGGTTTTTTTTCCCTTTCTTCAAATAAAGTTTTTCTTATTTTTTTAAAACGAACCCTGATCAAGCTCTATATTATACTCATTTTATAACAATACTTTTATTGTATAGTGTAAAAGAATATTATAATTAAATTTTACTAAAAAATATATATTAATAACTGTAAATTTAAGAAATAAGACTTTTAAAAGTAAACTATAATTAAATTAAAAAAAAGATAATTTTTAAAAATATAAAGATATTATATATATATATATATAGAAAATTTAAAAATTTATATAAGATAATTAGTAAAAGTTAAGTAACACCTTTAATTTTCAAAATTTATAAAAATAATTAATAAATATGTAAAAAAATAACATTATTGTAGCAAAAGAAAGTGTAGTTGCACATAATTTTTAGTTAATTTTAATATTAAAATGTACTTTTATTTATAATATAAAGATTTATTATATTTTAAAATTGTTTTATTTTATTAAAGCTTTATCATTTTAATACATAATATTCAAATTATAAAGTTAAATTAAAATAATTTTATTAATATATATATATATATATATATATATATATATTAAAAAAATAAAACACATGTGAACTAGTATCGTATTAAAATTTAAGTGTAAATTTGATTTAAGAGTGTAAGAGAGGATAAACTTAAATTTAAATAACCTATTTATCTAAAAAAATTTAGTAAATTAAGACTTGTAAGACCACTACTGATAAGACTAATATTTATATACTCTTTAACATATTACTAATCCATCGTTTGAGACTTCTTTTTATGATTATGTTTGGATTTAAATTAAATTTCAGATGGAGACGCGGGAATGAAAGGTGGTTCTTGTCCAAATCGTGCCGAATCGCCAGCTATGAATACGAAATCGAGGTCCCTTGTTCTGATGAACTATTTTCACACTGATCCTAATGCAACTTCGGTTTGTGCTGACAATTCGGCTCCGTTAGTTAGCATGATGAAGACTTGCCATGATGCTGCTGGCAACCGATGGCCAAATTTCATTGCTGTTGATTTTTACCAGGTATTTACTTGCCCTACATTTGAGTCATTTGACCAAAATACTTTCTTTAAGAAAATAAATTTGAATCTTACCTGGTATTTCAAAATACTGCATATGCAATGATAGGAGAAAAGAGATATAAATTACTACAGTTTATGGGATAACTATGGACCTAAGTATTTCAAAAATATGACACCTTAATGTTTTTGTTTAGTTTGTTTTGAAAAGAGATGAACCCGATAGAACAAATATACTTGTAATCTTGTGTACAGTTGTTAATAATTATGCTTTCTGTTGAAGAGGAGTGATGGCGGAGGAGCCCCAGAAGCTGTTGATGAAGCCAATGGTCATTTGACTTGTGGATGTGACAACATTGCGTATTGCAAGGTTACCAACTTGCTTCTTTCTATATATTTTTTAGGCAAAAGCTATCTGAAACTTGAAAGCACCTATTAAATAGTAAAAAAAATTTAAAAATATTAATGCAATTTTTTATAATTTTTAATGCAATTTAACTGTTATATATTTTTAATAAAAATATATTTTTGCTTCTTTAACCAGTATCTTTGGACACTGGTCAGTAAGATCCTTTTTTTTTTATCAACTCTTAAAAACTTAAAATAACTAGTAACTTAAATTTAATTTTTTGATTGTTTTGTTAAAAACATAAACTGTTAATTCGTTTTTTTGTTGTTGTAATTTTAAATGTCAATAAACTTTTATTGCAATGCTTTTAAGATTAAAAAGTACCAGCATATTCTGAATTTATAAATACTAAATTATAAAGTAAAATAGATATAAAAAGATTCGTATCCAATGTATTTTAGCTTATATATTTAGTTTTATAAATAGAAATATATGTGCTCTTTGTCATTTATAATTTTTTATTAGTTTTGATCTTTATAAATTTTAAAAGCATATTTATGATCAATTAATTCATCATCTAATGATGACAAATTATTATTAAATAATGACAGTATTTTTAAAAAAATTTAAAAATATATATAGACAAACAATTAAAGAATCAAATTATTCGACATGCTGTATCTTCTATGATGAATTATGCCTACACAGGACGTTGTCTATAAATTCATTCAAAAACTTAATGTGGTTACGGCGAATCGTTACTATTTGTCTATAAATATGTGCAGGCAAATGCTACATATGGAACATGCGACGTGCCTCCCATTTCTCCACCGCCACCTGCGGCTGATGCCACCACTGCCACCACCGTGGAGGGAGGAAACCAGCCATCGCAAGGGAAAGCTTACGTGGACACTCCGGCCAAGCTGCTGCAATCGCTTGGAATGATTTTGGGAATGACCACTTTCTTGACTTGGTTCTAGAATCTTAAAATACTACGTATTTTGCATTAGAAAATGCTTTGTAATTTTACAATTTTGTTAATTATATAGAATCTTAGTTATATAGTGTGAAGATGTGCATGTAACTCGTTGTGATTTTGTTTGCGATTAGATCGTTTTGGGTCCTAATAAATATCAGGAATTAGCGTCCGATTTTGCATTAGAGGATTATACGAATTGAAGAATTTCTTTGCTAATACGTTTTTTTTTTTTTTTTTTTTTTTTATCTACGAGACTGTTTTGCATAGCAATGGGAGAGGTGAATATATACTCTTTGGGATAATTACTGATCTCTTTTGAGTTTAGTATTAATTATACTTACATTCTTCTTAATTGTAAAATTATACTCGCAGTACTTATTTTATACTAATTGTATTTAAAAAATTATGGATATCTCTCATGAGGTGAAGCTAGCTTGGAATGAGAGGTGTAGTTACACTTGTTGCTGGTGTGATTCTTTGGAAGTCATACTTCTCATGAATGGAGATAATGCTTGTTTCCATAAAGATGATGCAATCATTAGGGAGATTCAGGATTTGTTACGCAGAGACTGGAACGTTTCCATTGCTCATACTTTAAGAGAAGACAACTTTTTTCAGATGATTTTGAAGTTGGGTTCCATGAAGTGTGAAAAAGAGTAATTGGGTTTAAGCTGAGTGACTTATTTATTTGCAATCCCTTAAGACAAGTAATAACAATGGAAATGGATGGTTGATATTGATCATTACTAGTAACAAAAGGTGTCTTAGGCTACAACCAGGCTTTTTTGTTGCAATGAGGGTTTTTACACTGCCTGGAGACCATGACTCATCATTAAAATGCAAATAGATAAGTTTATTAATATACTGAGGATGCTTACTGACGGTATTTAAAAGAGAAGGCAAAAATAAGGAAAGGAAGGCTTAGAGACAAAGATAATGGAATGATTCTCAATCATTGATTAAAGAAAAATATAGATATATATACAACTTATACATCCTAATTGTGAAAAAGATAACAAAATATAATAATGAAAAAGAAAAATAGAGGTATATATACAACTTATACATTCTAGAAGCTGGTAACAAATTACAGTAGTGAAAGAAAATAAAATTGAGAAAAAACAAAATTTGTATAGCTGTATAATGGATAGGAATGGATTGTACAGTTAGTTTTGTGATCAATTGTGCTCTTCTTCTTCTTCTAGCCTCCCACAAGCTGAAGGTTCAAAGATATCATAAAGTTCAAGCTTGAAAGATTTGATTGAAACAGCTTTGGAGGGAGAGCTTTAGTGAACATATTTGCGAGCTGATGTGATTAGAAAACCGAGAGAAGGTTTATTAGTCTAAAAAGCAGTTTTTCCCAAACTAAGTGGTAGTCAATTTCCAAGTGTTTAGTCCTTTCATGGAACATTGGATTTCCAGCAATGTAAAAGACACTTTGATTGTCGCAGTGTAATGTAGCACGCCTAGCAAAAGGAACCCATAAATCTCTAAATAAATAAGATAGCCATTGGAGCTCACAAATGGCTAATGCAAAGGCTCTATATTCAGCTTCAAGAAAATCTAGAGACAGTGAATTGTTTCTTTGTTTTCTATGAAACCAAGGAGCTTCCAATGAAGAAATAATAGTTGGTGACAAAGCGAGGGTGTTGACGCACATGACCTAGTCAGCATCATTGAAACCAAACAGTTGAAAGGAAGAAATTCTGCTAAAGAATAGACCTTTTCTAGGACAGTTCTTTAGATAACAAATAACCCTCAATGCGGCTTGAAAATGTGATTGAAAGGGGCAACCATGAATTGACTAAGTTGTTGGGTTGCGAAAACAATGTTCGGACGGGTATTGGTGAGATATATCATACGACTAACCAAAAGTCTGTATGATAAGGGATCTGTAAAAGGGGTACTGGAATCATGATGAACACGTAGTGAGTTGTCCATTGGTGTGGAACATGGTTTGGAACTTAGAAGTCCTGCATCTTTAATTAAGTCCAAACAATATTTTCTCTGGCACAATGAAATACCAGATGATGAATGAGCAACCTCAATCTCTAGGAAATATTTCAGTTTGCCTAGGTCCTTGATATGAAAATTGGAACTCAAGGGGTGTTTGATCTTATCAATTTCAGTAATGGAGTTCCCAGCCAAAATAATATCATCAACATAGATAATCAAAGCAGTGAAAGTGGAACTTGTTGCCTTAGTGAAAAAGTTGTGATCGCATAAGCTTGCTTGTATCCATAAGATAGTAACTGATTGGACAGTTTTTCAAACCATTTGCGGCTAGCCTATTTTAAACCATGTAGTGACCTTTTTAATTTGCAGCACTGAGAAAGATGATATCCATTGAGTCCCTAAAGAATAGTCATATATACGTCCTTTGTGAGGTTGCTATAAAAGAAGGCATTATTGACATCAAGTTGCTCAGATGCCAGTTGTTAATAGGAGTTACTGCCAGGACAATATGAATTGTGGTCATCTTGACAACTGGATAGAAAATTTTCAGATAATCAATGCTTTTGATCTGGGAGTAGCCTTTGGCCACTAATCGCGCCTTGTAATACTTAATCGAACCATCAGGACCATGCTTGATTTGTACACCCATTTGTAATCGATTGGCCTCACATTGGGAGGCGTTTGGGCTATATCCCAAGTTTGACTCCAAACTAGATCTTGAATCTCAACTTTAATGGCCTCTTACTAGCAAGGTTGTTTTGTGGCTTTGTGGTAAGTGGTTGATTCTTGCATAGAAGATAGACTCATCAGAAAGTGAGAATGGGATGAAGAAATACAAGAATAATCAACAAAAGCTTGAACAGGATAAGAAATCTTTAGAAAAGATTGGTTGAACTGTGTTAAAGCAGAGATTGAAGAGCTAGGGTAAGTGTTGCACTTATGGTCAGCAAGGTAGGTGGGACGGTGATAAGGACGATTGGAGTGGTGGGTGGGTTGTGTCATGACCTAATTACTATTCTGAGAACAACCATATACAGTAAATGAAGGAGTTAACGTGCATAATGTTGCTACCATACACACAATTTATATTTAAAATTAAGCATTCAAGTGATACATAAAATAAATCTCAACTATTGTTATTGAGTTCTATTGTCAGAGGATCCCTCCTTGATTTCAATTCATGGCATACCATAATGATTTCAAGAAAAGGTTATATTCATATAACATCTTCTCGTCTAAATCAAAACCAATTGTGCCGATCCTATAATGGGTCCAATCATAGTAAGTATGAATAATCAACTCTCTCTCAATGTTAGGAAAATGGGGATTTCAAAACATATCATCCTCACCCATATATAATTTATGGCACCTATGAATCTCATCACTTCTAATGAAAATCCCTTCAGAATTAAATTCTCACTTCTCAATCAAGTTTTCAGCGTAATAAATAATGACTTAAATCCATACTAATGGTTAACTATGTTAGAAGGAATAAAGTATACAAAAAGTACAACTATACAAAGGTGTAATTGTAATACGGAAGTGCATGCATATAATTGTAAAAGAGTAATAGTTTAAACATATCCATCCAAACCAAATTCTCCAAAAAGTTTAAATCAAAAGTAAACTCTTGACGTATAATATCTCAAAATAAGCAAAATGAATCCCTCCTATGAGCAATATCTAATCCATGACTACACATAATTATATATAATACTCTAATGGGAGATAATCTTCACTAGAATCACACTCCATCCCATCAGAGGAAGGCAGATCATTCCCCGCTTGGGGTCGAGGTGAAGGTGGCAGATCATCATTGCTATCTATTCATCCCATGGTAAGGGGTGGTGAACAAGATGCAGATTGTGGTGGTAGTGGTGACAGACATCTCATAGAAGGTCCCACTTCATCTAGTGACGGAGGAAGAGCTCTCGTAGGGTGTCAAGGTATGGGTCAGATAGAGGATTCCACAACAACTATGTCCTTCCACTCAGGTTCGTGGATAGGATTCGGTTCGAGAATAAATGGGGGTTCAGGATTCAGTTCAGGAATAGATAGGGGTTTAGTATCTATAGAGGCCTTTCCTTTGTTGAGATTCCCATGAGGGTTAAGAGGTGGTGTCTGGTCTGGAGATACTATGGGAGCAATAGGAGTAAAGAAAGATAAATGTGATATCGTCTCTCCTAACAAAATAAAAATTCCATTCAAAAGATTGTTGTTCCACTAGGGCTTCTAGCCCTCTTTAGTTATGGGTCCCACACTTATGGTAACTAGGCCTCGGAAGATGCGTCAGTGAGTTTGAGATTCGTATAATCACATCTCCTTCTCGCTGTTCAGTACCCAGATCTTTACTTGGTCGGTGTACATATGAAATGCATACGCGTAAAACAAAACAAAAGAACCAAGAGGAAGAGACAAACCAGAGGATGAGTCCCACACAATTATAATAATCCATATTATAAATATAAAAAATGAATTAAAACAAGTTAAACAAAACCTTCAATCCATTTACATATCACTCAAAATCCTATTAAATTATACTACGTAGTCCTATCAATCCAAACAATGATAAGGGATGCAATGAATGTCACTTGTAAGTCTATAATTTCTCAAAGTTTCATCATTTCTCCAATCAAGGTGGTCGGTGGACTCCATTTCCTACTAGTTAGCACATTTTGTTCTCAACTTATTGACTGATCCATATTATTAAAGTAGTATTCAAGAATGGGCTGTCACGATTTTGGTAATGGGTGCCTACATCAGGATTAGTAAAGGTTCCTCGGCGATGTGGCCCAGCTACAGTAAGCTACTACACGCTATTGGGCCATTCCCTTCCATCACTACTCCTAAGGTTCTTTCATGAAGCTGGACACAAGCATTCTGCACTTGTGTCGGACTGTTACCTGACTCTCCTTCATTGTTTACTTGAATAATGCAGGTGAATGGTTGTGCAAATACGTCATTGTCGTTTCAAGGGTACACACGCGCCACTTAATATTAATAATCGCACCCAAACAAAAGTAACGTGTGTGTGTGTATATATAT